TTAACAAAGCTGCAAGAGAGATTTCATGGATACTTGTACTATTGTCTATAATTTTATTTGCTAAATTTGTAACTAATTCCATATTTCTAATAGGGGTTTTGCTTTTAAAAAATCCCATAGATATTATAGCAAGCTCATCAACTGTAAATTTATCAAAATGGTCCGTAATGCAAACCTCCAAATTATGTATATCCTTAGGTGATTTTCGTTGAACTCCAATAAAAAACATAGTTTTGACAAGTTGAGCAGGTGTTAACTTTTTTGCTTTTCCTGACAACTTCAGTAAACACTTGTATGAAAAGTCACTGACCCTTGTAACATTAAGCATATAAAAGAGAGTAACATAAGTAAGCATTTCATCGTAGGACCACCGATTAATCCTTCTTAGACATTCATCATCTAGAGCTGCCCACACTTCAATGTAATTTCTACTTCTAATGGATTCTGTTTCTGGCCACTTCAGTAATGAATAAAATATAGACTTTAATTCATCATCACTAGCTACTTTGAGGTTATCTGTTAAGTTGTCAATAAAATCATCAAACATCTTATCAGTAATGCATAGATTTTGTTCAGCACACAATGCTCCGAGGATAGGGAAAGTTTCAAAAATATTTTTTGATATATTCTTGGACCAATCTTGAGAAAGCAAATCTTGTATGGAATGTTTTGTTATTAACATTTTACTATCTTCAAAATTAATGTTGACTGCATATCCTTGATTTTGCATTATATTGTAAGCGTACTTGTTTTCATGTTCCATAAACATTTTCACATATAATTTTGGACTTTCATGCAAATTTCTAAAAATGTTTTTATATTGACTATTACGTATAACCCTAAATTGGTTTCGAAATTGTAAATGCGTAAATAGTCGCAGGAATTTATAAATAGTCATTGTAAGAAAGAATTTACGCTTTAAAATATTAAATTCCACTAAATATTGAAAGTATAGTAAAAAATTGCTGTACAGTACATTAGTATACAATGTTTTGATTGTGGTCTTTGATTGTGGTTTAAACCACAGAGTACATTGTATATAGGGAAGTTTAAACCATAGATTACTGGGTTTAATTAACACTTTTCACTACTTAGGGCCGGCCATATACATACGGAATTCCGTTTCGAGATATATCCGTAACCTTTCATCTTATTTTATTTACTACTTACTAATCAACACCAAAATTATCACTTATGGTGCGGCTATAACACAGCTCTGGTCCAATTTGGATGTAAATATAAAAATATTGCAATGTGATTCAGGTGCTACTGCAGTTAATAAACCAGATTGTCTACTTGAAGCCTAAGAATGCAGCAACATTCTTTAAGAGTTTAACATTTATAGTAGGCAGTTATATAAAAAAATAAACAAGTATAGTTATCACAAACCATTACTGATTATTTTATCCACAAGTTACTAAACAATAACGAAAAGATTTATTTCTTTAAATGATGAATGCAATGCAATAAAAATTACTACAATATCCCTTTACAACCGGAGATTTTTTTTTCAGATTCTAACCATAAAACTTTTATGTTGCCTTCCTACTAGGTATATAGAGCTCAAAAAAATCAGTTAAAAAAATCTCGAGGTCATACCTTACCCACAAATCCACCCGCACGATCGTGAGTCGCAGGTCGTACACGACATAGTCACGATCGTGAGGGTAATTTAAACTAGCCCTATGTTTTGGTACTTTAAAGAATAATTAAAAAAGCTTATACTTAATCAGCCTCTTTATTAATTATTTAGTTATTTTAATCATTCAGTCTCATATAATTTTTTTTTAGAACTAAACATTAATTCGTGCCTTTGGCAACATGATACAAAATTTTCTGTAAAATATATACAAAACAAAACAAACTTTTAAAGTTGTACGCTACAATAAAAATATAATTTTAATTAATGCTTCTAAAGCCTCCGTCTCCGTTTGAATGCTAATAAAACTAAGGTTCTGGTATTTGAAAGGGACGAAGAGAGAACGAAGTGTGAAATATGGGTAAATCAGGAATGTCTAGAACAGGTAAATGAAATTGTATACTTGGGGAGTGCTTTTAGCCGGGATGGAAGATGTGATTTAGATGTGGACAGGCGTGTCGCTACCGGGAACAAAGTCAATGGTGCCCTGACTGCGTTAGTCAAAAGGCAAGGCGTAGCGAAGAGTGCACGCCTTGCAATACATAACGCAGTGTTGGTACCGACTTTGTTATATGGCAGCGAAACCTGGGTATGCCAGAAGAAGCATAAAAGTAAGTTGAATGCAGTGGAGATGCGATCTCTTCGTAAAATGTGCGGCGTTACTATGGCCGACCGAAAGCGAAACGAAGAGATTCGCAATATGGCAGGTTTGAAAGATGACCTTATCACAAAAATTGATAAGAGCGTGCTTCGGTGGTTTGGGCACGTTGAGCGAATGAGTGAAGACCGAATGGTGAAGAAAATATATAGCGCGAAAGTTAATATTAAAAGGTGTCGAGGTAGACCGAGACTAACTTTCGAAGACCATGTGAGCAAATTGCTCGAAGAGGGTAGGGTCAAGAGTACTCGGATACCTAGACGTGCATGTATGAAGAAGATAATGAATCTGAAAGAAGCGAAAGAGATATGTAAGGATCGTGACACTTGGCGATCTGTTCTCTCTGGCTACCCCGTCAGGGATTGTGCGTGAAGATAAGCTTCTAAAGCAAATCAGGAATAAAGAAATATCAGATCATCCTCTGGTATGGTAAGACTTGAAACACTCTTTGCCACGTGCGATACACAAATACGTGTCGCATTTTGTGCAGCGTACCTTTGTGCGACTGGTACAATTTTCGTACCTGCACATTCTAGGTGCTTTTATTTCGTCGAACACTGGAAAATGTTCGTATCCATCATACCACTTTGATTCAGACGGCTTGTTTGCTGGTCTGTACTGTCTTTTCGGAAGAGGAGATTCATTTTCATCCAGCGGCGGTTCATTTTCAATATTGCTCGTCGATGGCCGGTTTCTTGCCGGCAAACTTGACAATCCATCAGCAATGTTCATGCGGAAGTCTAACAAGGGCAAAATTTCCCTCCTGCTTAATTTATTTGCCATACAATCATTACGATACAGTCGCCAAGAATTGACAATTGCCAAGTCAAGAAAGTGTATCAGTACTTTCAGTGTCCATTTCTTTGTTTTGATGAATGTCCGATAATACTCCATCTGCTGGTCCAGAACATCAACACCCCCCATGTGTTGGTTGTAATGCTCGACTACTTTTGGGACAGGTACGTCTACGTACATCTTCAAGTGTTTTTCCCATCTCTTGACGATTGAAGATGAGGACGAGCCGGTGCAGTTTGACGCCATTAGAACGGACTTATTGTCTTTCCATTTGACGACGACAGTCGGTCCGCAAACGTACTGCTGTGATTCTCCGCGAGCCATTCTAGCATCTGGTTTAAATTTAATCGCAGTACGGTCAGGGATCCTGTTGAACATGATTGTTCCCGTACTGTGAAGATTCCTCTTTGTCATCTCTTCAATTAGCGGAACAGTCGTAAAATATCTGTCGTGGTAGACACAGCTTCCAGGCGGTACACTTTTCACCAGATGCAGAACCACAGAAGCTCCAAGTCCAAGAGATGTATCTGCAAACATGGTTTTAGCTCCTCGATATATGTCGAAGTCTAGCATCAAGCCTTCACTTGAGGTCAGCACAAAGTTCTTCAAACCCACCGGGCGCGGCTTATTTCGGACTACCTGGCGAAGTACACATCTGCCAGTAAATGGTACCATTTGCTCGTCAATGGAGTAGAAGCCAGGAACTGTTTCAAGTTTGTTACAGGCTAATTTTAACCGGTCAATCATCGGCTGTACTTTCCACAGTGGATTGTTACTATTACTTGGCGGAGCTTCATCAGCATCTACGATGTGCAATGCATTGCGGACAGTCAAGAACCTGTCACGAGCCATTTGTTGAGTTATTATATCCAGTTTTATTCCACCTCTCCAATACATCGGGACACGGGGGTAGGGAATACATCCAATGATGATGTGTATTGAAAAAACTCTGGCTACTTCAACTGTTGTAAGTTTCAGTTCCAGGCCCGTTTTTCTGTGATGGTACATGTTTGTGCATCTGGCAATTTCATCAAAAAACTCTCTGTTGAAATAGTCGGAGAAATACTCCATTGGAGTCCTGACCGGAGTAACGGGCAAGGGAGCATAGTCATGACTACAATCGTCGAAAGGTACCTGCTTCCAAACTCTCTTTCGAGAAGGTGGCCGTAAAGATCGAGGGCGCGGAGTTAGTTGTGATGGTCCAGGAGTATCTTGCATCGGTTCCGGCTCCGGTGCTACAGACAGCTGTGGTTCAGGCTCTGGATCATCCAACTGAAGATTTTCGAAAGTGCTGGGTTGGATTTCGTCGTCGTCGTCCTCAAAATCTTCGATGTCGGAGAAGTTTCCATCGCCCAGCAATTGTATAACTTGATATTCGTTCAAACTTCTGCCTAAAACGTTAAAAAAAGTAACTATTAATTACAAAATCTATGTAAAAACAATCATCAAGTACAGTACCCACTCCCGAATAATGTTTCGGTAGTACAACCCGAGCCGCACGATCGTAGCGGTCGTACTTTATAACGTAATTCTAACGAAACCGTAAAGGTCAGCACAAAATCAAAATAATCTAGGTATTGGGTTATCTTTTAACTTTAAAATAATTATAAACCACAATGAAATACTTTCAAATTACTATTAAAAATAATTACTTACCCGCGGCGCGGCGAGGATCGAAAAACGCAGCCATCTTTCATCTCAGCTCACAGGTGACTGACTGCTCCCATCCCACCCGTATCTATTTTCCGCGCGTAAAATACACCACGCGAACGATCGACGCCGGTTGCGTTCGGAAAAAGTAAACCGTTTGGTGCCAGTATTTTTTTGAATTTAAACTCACGCTCGTATCAGTCCGAGTGTAAAGGGATATACTATTACAAAGAGGTAGTATGCAACCATAAATTATACTTACTCTCCAGCAGATCCAGATAGTTCAGGTTCTTTGATCTTTTTAGGTCGCCCAGCTTTAGCTTTTGGAGGACTACTTCCAGACTTTGAAGTATTAGTCATAAAGTGTGAAAAAATTTCAGTTTGTTTTAATAAAAACTCAAATCTTTTGGAACGATCGGTTTCAATTTTACTTTCAAAGTCGCCCTCTTTACCTCTGGAAGAAGTTGTGTCACTTGACGACTCGTTCTAGAATTAATACAGAGTATGAAATATTTAAACACATATTTGAAACAAAGTAACAGAAAAACCAATATATTAATATAAATAATTAAATGAAACACTTACGGAATTTTCTCCGACCTCTGCAACATCTATAGCTTCTTCCGTGTTAGACATTTTCAATTGTATAAAAAATTATCGTACAATAATTTATTTCCTACTATATTCTAGAAATTTCTACTGTATTCAATAAACACAGTTTTCATATTTTAAACCGATTATCAAGTTATAAATACGCAATATGTAAAGAAGTATCCTAAAAAAACGGCAGACGATGAGATTCACACACAGAATAAATTTTTTGACATTTGTGAGTTTGTGACATGACGCCGGTGCACGGGCGCGAAAACAGTGCTGCTGCTTACGCTTGGGCATAAATAATCGATATATCGAATATCGATATTTACTCATAAAATATCGATATATATTAGATATTTTAAATCTCGATATATCGATATTAATTTTAGAGTGTCGAATTCTTATCAATTTCGATATATTTTTGTATTAATGGACCAAACATTAAGTAACAAAAAAGCAGCTACAAAAGCATTCATGTACAGATGTCGTATTTTTTTTCAACAGAGGCCAATGCCAAAAGCCAATGTTCACGAGTTTTTGTGGGGCTATCCACATGTTGGCCGTAATTAGTTTTCGTTGGGAATTGGAACGATATGAACGACGTAGAAGTTATTGCAGCTTCAGTTATTTATTTAATGAGTGCATATAATTAGCATGTCAGTGTACTCCGCAGTAAAGTTGTAAAAAAGAAGAAGCAGTGACATTGTCGAAATTATTTTGAAGTTGCAACTTAATTAAAACATAACATCTCACCGGAACGGAAACCAAGCTGTAACTGACATAGATGACTATGACTAACATGTGGACGCGACTTACCGAATGCAGGCGAGCGCCTTTGATTAGTGCGGAAAAACCGACACTGTTCGGAAGTGGACAAGTCGTAGCGAGCGATCCCGAGTAGCGGCAAGGCATATCGATATATATATCGGAAATGACAACAGGAGATCCCACTGCTGATATCGGAGAATTCAACAGGAGATCCCAATTTTGATCTCGGAAATACATCAGGATAGCGATAACTGTTAAAAATAAAAAGTGTGAGAGCGGATGTTCAACTTGCTCTCGTGCTTACGCAATTAATCATTATCAGTAATAAGACAACGTAACGCACTATACATTCTGTATAGTGAAATTACAGTTCGACCACACCGTAACACGTCTCCGCCACAATTACACACCAATGTAACGTGAGGTACGTAATTACATGATAACACCAAAATATGTAAACCGACAGCAACACTACTTATCTCAATGTAACACAGGGCAGCCTCTCAGCAACACCAATCCTCTTTGCCTGCACTAGAAGAATTACAACAACGAACAGAACCACGACACTATATTAGCACTAGTAGAATGACCACACTCGTTGAACGACTTAGGCGGAATCTCTCGCGCACGGCACCTACAGTGAACTTTATACTGCACAAACAAGTGGGAGTTTCTCGATATACCCTCCATTGCACCTCAATCTAACCGGGTATTTTATAGACTCTCCGACACGGCCATCCTGACGTACGACCGTCATCGGGCGTGTATTTTCATGCATTCCTGTAACAAACACCAATTCGCCCGCTCGTCTATCCTGACATGAGTGGGTACATATTATTAGTTCGCAAAACTAAATTGTTAGATAGCGCTGCTTGTTGCACTATGGCACCATCAATCCACGACACGGCCATCTCCGACTAGCATCCGTCCTCGGTTGCAGTACCTGTAGACAAAATATGCTCAGAGATTAATCTAGCTCTGCTATTCTGCTAATAGAAACAAGGTCGATTCCAAATGGTACTTTACTTCTCCTAAGTCTAAGTACAATAGTCAACTGTCATAATTGACAATGCCTTGTCATTAAGGCTTCATACACAGTGCTTCTTGCACAACATGATTTATTGTGAAAGGTCCGATCAACAAGTTCTAACACAGTAATTTTAACAATTTTTTACTCTTTACAATTCATAAGCAATGCATATTCAACTCGTGAAACTTTCATTGAAATCTGTGCATCAACACAGACCAGAATCGCACAAACGATTCTTTACATATCCGCCGTCACATATGCCAGAATCGCACCAACGATTCTCCACATATCTGCCGTCATATATGCTACAATACACAAGGGGCTCTGTGCACCAACACAGGCCAGAATCGCACCAACGATTCTTTACATATCTGCCGTCACATATGCCAGAATCGCACCAACGATTCTCAACATATCCACCGCCAAATATGCTACAACACATCTGCCGCCACATATGCCAGAATCGCATCAACGATTCTCTACATATCTGCCGCCAAATATGCACCAACACGGACAGAAATCGCACCAACGATTTCCTACAGACCCATCGCCACATGTTACTCATGAGGTGCGGTCTAAAGTTTTGAGTATGAGTATACAAGCCATTCTTAATCAAATTTGGTCTCACTACCAATGTCATCAACTATGACATCTAATTCTCGATGAACTTGGTGATCGGGGATCTTCCTCACATGATCATGGGGGTATTTGTGGGGTACTTTGCACACAAACATGACCGCTTCCGGTTGAATTTACGATAGTATTTAAACTTTTGCCTCAGCACCATCTTTGATGAGAGGGTAATTCGGCCCAGAATCATAATAAAATGGGTACGACTCACCAGTATTCATTAGCATACCGCTAGGATTGCTCACATAGCAAACGTAAACACGACGCTCATTGCTCACCTCTACGGTAGGCATAAGGGAAGCGCACGTGGCTATTAAAACAAACCAGCACACGCCATAGTTAGCTGCCATGAAGCAAGCTCACATGGTCAAAACAACAGCACAGGGCGTGCCGCACTCGCACAGCGAGCCGTCGATTCTCACCAGCGCCAGCGAGACGCTGCACCGTACCACGCACTCGAAGCGTTAACGGGAGCAGCAGGAGCACCTGAGGGTTCACAGGCATCTTCGGGGTTGCCGTCATCGGGATCTGCGTTAAAAACAAGTTGTTAGTTATCAGGACAACATACACAGTTGCCTATCCTCTTATCCATCACGCATACGAGGCCCTCAAACAGAAATACGCTCTCATACCGTGGACTATAATAAAACACTTCGCTTTCACAAGTAAGCATACATCTCCATACGAAGTATCTCACACATACTCTTGAACTTGCGAGATCCCATGTTAACCACGTGAACCACGTTAAAAACGTGGACCAGGACAGCGCCTGCCAGGACAGAGCCTGATACATGTTTAGAAAATACTACTGCGCACACAGAGTATACGACTTCCGCGCACACAGAGTACGACTTCTGCGCATACAGAGTACACGACTTCAGAGGCATCGTCATGTATAGCATATGCGCGCTCCGGGAAATCACCCGTCACGCGTACAGTATACGCGTGTGCCGAAGCCAGGCCATGCTACATCTGGACCCGGCAGTCCGTTCCGACCAGCAAGGCACACCATCGCCTACGCTCGCGCACATGTAATCATATCACACGTACTACTGTAACACAAAAGAAAACATTAAAAAGATTCAGTAGGACTTTTTTTTTAATGCTGCAGTACTCTCAGGGCACTTTCTAGGGCACCATATACTGAGCTGCAGCTACACGACAACCTCTGGTACGGTCCGATCCGCATGTAAACTTAAGTACTAACTTCAATGTCAGAACTAATTTGCTCTACTTCAATTTCGTCTGTTATACTTTGTTTTTCTGGCATTTTTCGCAACCAATTAAAAATGTAAACAGTTATTCAATCAAAATCAAAATCAAAAATCGTTTATTGCGTTTCAAAAGGTAGTAACAAACAAGTGGCAAGGGCCCCTGTACTGGGTTGGTAAAACCTGTGTTACGGGGTACCCCGCTCTTCCAACAGACAAATTTTAACAATTTGAAACATAACATTATATTAGTGCTTTAACAAGTAAATTTTAGATACTTAAGAAAGAATGAAAGTGTGTGTGTGTGTGTGTGTGTGTGTGCGTGCGTGCGTGCGTGCGTGCGTGCGCGTGCGCGTGCGCGTGCGCGTGCGCGTGCGCGTGTGCGTGTGCGTGTGTGTGTGCGTGCGCGTGCGCGTGCGCGTGCGCGTGTGCGTGTGCGTGTGCGTGTGCGTGTGCGTGTCGATTTAGTACATTTCGTAGAAAAATAACTTAGGTGTGGTGTTACTAGCCAGTGAATATTTAATTTATGGTGATTTATTAGAGTTGTTTTACTTAATGATGATGTTTAACGAATAATAATGGATAACTGAAAATGGTGTGTTCTAAGATGCGTCTATAATAATCTAAAATTGAGTGCCCAAGTTTATTTGTGTATAATATTACTAGTCAATAATATATATAAATCTCTATGAAAATAATTGTTTTATTTCTGAATAACTATTAACCGTGTTCCATTCCAATTTTCTACTTATGTATCAATGCATAGCTAATTGTTAACTTTAATCTTCCTCTTAAGGTTTGTGTAATTAAATGTTTAAAATTTCCAATAATGTTTGTTATTTATTACTATTTCCATTCCAATTTTTTACTAATGTAGAATGTAATTTCTACATTCGTAGAAAATTGGAATGGAAATAGTAATATATTATTATTAAAAATAGAATATTGAATGTGGGGGTGGGCAATGCGCATTATACATATACACACGCACACATTCACATCTGTTAGTTCATGGATCAAAAACTGACGCGCTAGTGTCGCAAGCTGTTTGCATTTTTATTGTATGAAGTTTTCGTTCTTCCCGTCAGGGTACATGTATTCTGTGCTCTCCACTCTCCAGTATTATATATTAGTGCTCGCCACAGACTAAGTAGATAAGTAGATTCTAACCGAATCAGACGGACATCTCATGAACTAAACTTACTAGTCATAGATTAATGATAATGATAAGTCATCGCGCGCTCTGACTAGATACCTCCGGCGCTCATGTCTCCACACGCTTGGTGTTTGCCACATACACCATACACGAACAAACACCGACCACATTCACCCAACATAAATACGGCATCCACACGCTCGGCGAACGTGCTAGTATATTCCGGATAGGCAAACATGACGGA